AATGTTATATAATAAATAATAATATATATATTTTTTCTTTCCATTTTCTCAGAAAAAAAAGAAAAAAAGACACCGGCCCTTTTTACCAAGGGTGGATTTTGGAGTGGTGTTTGTTTTTTTTTTTTTTTTAATTAGCATTATCTTTACTTTTCAACAGAAAGAGGTACTGAGAACCCCCAAATGAATAAATCCAGTACCTTCCTCACCTAGGCATTGTACCAAGAGTGGAATTACTCCCACAGGGAGCTATGTTTCCTTACAAATACCCAAAAATTCTCTCCAGTAACCATTCCATAAACCATCCCCTCTTCTCCTTTCACACTTGTAATTCTCTCACTCCTCTTCCCTTCCCATCTCTCGGTCTTTCCTGGTTCTTCAGCCGTCTCTGACGGAAGCGTGGGGTTATTTCCAAGCTTGAAAACATCTCCAGCTTGAGTCCTGCTGGATTTTTAGCAGCGTGTGGAAAGCCAGGCTCTGAGCCAGCAGCCACGGGGGGAGAGGACGCAGACACTGAGAGGAAAAAGTTTGCTCACCAAAACGATGATGACGCTTGTTTGCAGTCCCAGGCTTTCATTTTCTCCCGTGTTCCTTTGCTCCCTCTCCAAAAGAAAAAGAAAAAAAAAAAAAAAAGGGATATCAGTCTGGGTGTGTGAAGTGAGATATTAAATAAATGTGTTTAAAAGGGGCAGAAAGTGATCATGAGAAGCTGGGAGTGGTGGAATCAAAAAGAGAAGGAAAAGCAAATATGTGCAAGGAAAAATGTCTATTGCAGAATATTTCAGGTGTAAAATTTCCTGGTCCTATTTATTTATACGTGGGAGTTCCAATAACTCCAAGGATGTCACAAAAGCAGCTGATTCCAAGAGGTTAAAATTTTTATTGAAATGGAAGTTTGCTTTCTTTTCTTCTTTTTTTTTTTTTTTCCTCTCCAAGCTGTGCACACTCTATATAATTTACATATATTTTTAATTAAAAGTAATTCTAATTAACTAACGAGGTATACCTGCGTGTCAGCCATTGGGAAGGTGGGTGGGAATGTGTGGGAATTCTGATGTGGGAGGGGATATAAACAAGTATCCAAAGCCATGGAGCAAAGGAGAAAAAAACAAACCCTACCCAGCTCTGATCTCCCATTTTTGTGTGCCAATTTATGCCTAATAAATACCACACAATCTCCATGGCAAGGGAGTGCCCACCTACTTTTAATGTATTTTTGGGACTGGGCTGGTTTTACTTGATTTTTTTGCTTCAAAACCTTTCATGATTGTTGGCTTAGACACAGCCAAAGTGTGATGCTGGAGTTGTGGGCAGGAGACGTGGGCAGCACATGTGGGGCACGGCTGGGACCTCTGTTCTTGCAAAGCCTTTTGTCTGCATGGAGCCACCCCCAGGGAATCACCCAAAAGTTGCATTAAATCACACAGAGCATGCAGTGCTCCAGGACTGCTGGGTAAATCACATTTTGAGTTAAGGAACACAATAATTACACTGTATTTAGCTGTCATCTACACTGTGCTTTCCCAGCTTCGTTATCCCACTGCTGATCATGTAATCATCTAATCCCCATGGGGTGATTCCCATGTCATTAGATGGGCAGTGGTTACCCTGTAAGTAAAGAGGTCTCCCCAGAAATGCCTGCCAGGCATCTCAAAGAGGATTAAGGAAAACTAAATCCCATGGAAAATTACTTCTTAAGCGTTGGGAGGAAAGCCTCAAGCTTCCAACTCCCCTCATTTCCTCAGAGCTCCTCAGGTTTGGTTTTCGGCTCTTTGGGGTTATGCTGAGATTCTGTGATGGGTTTTGGGGCTGGAAAAGCCAGCAGATCCCTGAGGACACAGCCTTGTGGAGCCACACTGGTATGAGGAGCAGGGAGGCCATCAGTGGCAGAATCATCACTTGCCACAGCAGTAAAATCTGGGATGAATGCAAAGAAAAGGTGGTGGGAGGATCCAATCCAGCCTTTTCCTCCTCTTTTGAAGGAGCTTGTCAATGTGGCATTTCCATATGGCAATTCCATTTCCATGGGTAGGACTGGGAGGAATCAGGATGTGAAAGGAAAAGGTGATCCCAGCCTGGATGTGGGTGTGCCTGTTCTGAGCTTCTACTTTTCCCCAAGTGGTCTAAAACAACACCAGGAGCTGTCAAGAAGAAGCCATCCTCTCCCTCTGATTGAGATTTTATGTTTCAAAGAGCCTGATGTGATTTCTTTGTTTTCTTTTCTTATGAATTTATTTCTTAGCCAAGAATAATAATGCTGACAATAACAACAAACAGCAGAATTAGGGGGAAAATTACATTTGTCAGTGGAGGAATTGGACAAAAGAGGTGCAAAATTCACTTTATTCACAGCTCAACCGGCAACTGTTCCCTGTGAGGGTGGTGAGGGCCTGGAACAGGGTGCCCAGAGAAGCTGCAGCTGTCCCTGGATCCCTGGAAGTGTCCAAGGTTGGATGGGGCTTGGAGCAGCCTGGGATTGTGTAAAGTGTCCCTGGCCATGGCATCCTCTGGTGCTGTTCCATAAACCCCACTGGGGGTGTTGGGGGTGGGCTGGACCTGGGCTGCTCCTGCCCCAGGCCTGGGGACAACAATGATGGAATGAGAGTCCAGGAGAGTCCAGAGAAGGCAGTGGAGGCCCATCCTCCCCACAAACAGGGAATCTGGTGAGGAAAGGAGCCACAGAACATCACCAGGCCTTTAGGGATGAAGCAGAATAAACAAGAGCAGGCTGAGAATTCCTCAGAGCCCAAGGAAACCCAACCTGTGCTGAGAACACCTTTGAAAGAGCAAGCAGCAGTTCCCAGGCTGTGGTCACAATGCTGTTTTTCCAGCTGCCTCCCTGGGCTGAAACACTCCCTGCACTCCGTGCCTGCTACCTGGGGAGGGTTTTGATGCCCTGAGAGGCACAGAGAGCTCTTTGTCTGCCCCTATCAATCGCTCCACATTTCAAGTTTCACCAGCCACGATGCTGGGTGGGTTTGGGAGATTACTTTTCCCTTCCAGCAGCCCCCAAACCTGCTCTGGTGAAGCTTTTCCTACAGGCAGGGATGCTTGGAAGGGGCAAAGTCACCCCCTCTGCTGCTCAGGCTGCTCCCACGGCAGAGCCAACCTCCCAAAAACTGCACTCGAGGGCTGAGGGAAAAAAATATCCCAAAGCCTCAGGATTCTTGCCCATAAATCCAGCCCACAATATCATAGATTTCACAGTGCTGCCAACTCTGACAATTTTATGATGGGTCTCATGTGATTTGCAAAAGTGTGGTTTAGTTTTTTTCTCTTAAAATTTCCAGCTCCTGGAGACCAGTGAATATATGAGGCTCTCAAAGGATTCTGAGCCTTTCCCCCACTGCCCTGTTTTTGATTTTTTTGTTTGATTTTAGAACATGCTGTAAAGCTGGAAATTTTACTGGAGAGAAAAGTGAGGCAAAGAAAACATGCCTTGGGGAGGTGGGGCTAGAACTCATCATGGGTCAAAAAATATTTAGTTTTGGGTTTTTTAAAAATTTGTTTGTTTTCTTTTTAAAATTATTTTTCCCTGTTAAAGTCAATGCCTTTGCTGCATAATTTTTGAGTAATAAAAATGACAAAGTTTGAAGTGAATGGCAAATGTTGAGAGAGTGGTTTGAATAAATTCCTGCCCCCAAAGAGTGATACTTCATTCACAGGTAGATTTTACACCTTCAAAATTTCCAAGGAAATTTTTCAGCCTGAGGTCTTTTCAGAGGGATGTGTTTCACTTGAACCCATCACACCCAGGGGCTCCAATATCTCCTACCTCCTTTTTTTGGTTGAAGAAAGTCCTTCAGACTCAGTGCCTGGTTCTGGCTGTAGGGTTTGGAGATTTTGCCCTGTACCTGTAAGGACTCAGCTACAGAGGAGTGGATTTAAAAGTGTTCCTGAGACAAATAAAGGCAAGAAATAAAGGTTCAACAGCTCCCACAGTCAATCAGAAGGGTTGGGTTGAACATCCTGGCTCAAACTTCTCCTGGGAACACCTGGGAAAAGCCCTCACTGCCTTGGAGACAGTCCCAAGGTTTCCCACCAGCACCACTTGCACCTGGATGAGCCCTCTCACCACAGGGATTAAGGGCAGAGGAGGGTGGGGGTTTGAGGAGGTTTTGTGTTAACTTCTTGTAGTGATTCTGCTGGGAGCACATTGGAGCACAAGTGAGTAAAAGGAAAAAAAAGGGATGTGGTGAGAAAATGGGAATTGGTCACTGTGGATGTCACCTGTGCACTGCTCTCAGGGCTGTTTGCTTCTACTAGAGACTGAAGAAATGAGTTGTGATCTGCCTCAGGGTAAAAAAATCTTGCTTGAGTTATGGACAGAAAGTACAGCCCTAAACTGGGAGGGGGGAAGAGGCAAACACCTGCAGCAGTGCACAGTGAACCCTTTAACAGCAAGGGACTGAGGGCTCGGGGGGTACTTGTATCCATAAATGTGGTTTTGTCATGTAAGATCAAACCAGATTATTATTAATTATTATTACTGTTGTTGTTGTAATAATCTGCTGCTGCTCCTCTGCTTTGTGGGAGGTGCCATGTGGAGAATGCCTTGTGTCCTGTGGAGCTGTGTGCTGCAGTGATATCCCTGTCACCAACTCCTATATGCATCAGCATTTCACTTCAGTTGCTCCTCAGACCCGCACCACTATGAATCAGGAATTTGTTTGCTGCTCCTGGCTCTTCCCATTCTCCTGAAAAAGCAATGAGATGGAATCCCAGTTCTTCTTTTCCTGCTCTTGGTGT